AATGCCACTGAATCGGATCCTTTGTGTTTATGGAGGTTCAGTACAAAAAGTGTCTTGATTTCAAATTTCAAGATACATGCATGGCACCATTTAGTGTGAATAGCATAAACACATATGAATGACATAATAGACATTGAAACATTTCCTCACTGACCTTTTTATGTACAACATTCATATATGACACCTTGGTTCATTTAAACCCTGGCACTGATAGTGATCTCACTAAGTTTAATTATCTGCCATTTATAATTTCATAATTTATTTTTAGATGCATGTGTCAGATGAAGTGATGATAACTCATGAAAGTTTATGCCACAATAAATGTGTTAGTCATTAAGATACCACAAGACTCTCTGTTACTTTATTTCAAAAGGGTTGGGGGGGTGTCAGTGATGTTTTTCTAAATATGAACTAGGCATTCCCCAGGCACTTGTATCTCTCCCACATTTAATGATTATGTAAGCCTCAAGCTTATTCATGCATTCTGAAAGCCTGCACAACCTTCACATTCGAGTACAAACTCTACTGCTTACTCTGTCAGCAAAGCCTGCTCATAAATAACTTGGTTTGAAATGCAAAAGAAATCAAATTACTTGGTGGGAAAAGAAATCCATAGTTTAGCTGCGGGTGGCCTTTGTAAAATGAACAACTCTGGCCGAGACTTAAAGGAATACGATTATCATTGTGGAGACAGCTGGTGGTAGCTTTTATAGAGACATTCCAATTGGCCTAGGTAACAAAAGACATTATCAGTAGCTGCACAAGCATAATGTACACATCATGTAATATGTGAGATACAGATTCACAAAGGTCCCCTCTAACTTTATTCTTGTAGAACACTGACATTGGACTACTATTTTATTTGATCTTTAGTGTTTTTAACATTGTCAGCCATCTCAAGCATCTTTTAGGGAGTGGTAGCCAATAAATAATTGGATAATTAAATATTTCACTTAAGTAAACTAATCCTCAGCTCTGGCAGATGAACAGATGACTTCTGAAGATCTCATTCATTTCCTAGTTCTCAATATTTACCAACATTTTTCCACACCAGAGGCACTGTCTAGGTGACTTGGTAGGTTATTTCACAGCTTCAGAACCCCAGAACTGTTTCAGACCATGTTGGTCTCCCACTATCCTAAAGAGCCAGTGAGGACCAGAATTATTGATGCAGTCCAAACAGGATAAGACGCTGGACAGCAGAGGGGAGGGCATGAGCCCTTTGTCTAAAGGAAGATTATTACAGTGCTTGGGGTATCTTCAAGGAACCAGGCCAGATTCTAGCATCATTTAACTTCTAATCTGTTTAAAGACATGAAGTAATTAGCCAGAAATACAGCTAGTCAAGTCTTCAGATCACTTCTCAGCTCTTTCTACATTCAGCACAAACATCTGTCCTTGCCTTTAATGTTTCCTACAGCCCCCCCCCCCAAAGGTTATCTCCCTTTTCTTGTACCAAGATCTATTCCCAGAATTTCCACTTCCATTCTGTCCCAACTTTCATCAGCCCAAAATATTCCTTCAAATCTCACATGCTATCCTTTATGCTTTGAACTCCAGCCCACAATACCATGTCCTTCAAATTCAGCTTTTAACTCACCAAGACCATGAAACCCTCATCCCCAACTGAAATGAAGTCTTGGGCCCTGGTCACATGGAGCATTTGCCCCGCGGAAGGCATGATAGTCGGGTGGATTTTCCGGGCGCGATCACACCGGAACATCTGGGAGGCGTAGCGCACCCGTGGCCAACCCATGGCATGCCGCCAAAGATGCGCATTTAAAAGGTACCTGCAACAACCTACTGGCAAATGGTTTGCCACGGGCTGCATACGGACTCCCACGGTGTGATCGTGTCGGCGTGCAGCTATTCCCCCGGGTCATCCTCTTTGCTGCGCGCACCGATGGAGGAAGCCCCAGTGTGCCGCCGTCGCGTCTGATCGCCTAATGGCGGATCAGAATGTGACGGCTCAAATAGCCACGCCTCCCCCCCGCGTTATCTGGCCCATGTGACAGGGGCCTTGGTATAGTTTCTAACCATTGCCTTTCTATTCTCCTTCTGTCATCTTCCTCTCTTCTACCCCATTTTACTTTCCTCTACACAAATTTACACTGTAGACTCTTCAGGACAAACACCTGACTTTTGCATTTGCTACTTAGTAAAATTCACTGTACAGATACACTCAATCCACCTTCAGTGAACTTTCCAACTGGATTTTACTGAGTGAACTGTCAAAATCCAGTTGGAAAGTGCATTGAAAGTGGATTATTTAGTGTGTGTGACCGCAGCCATAGTGTAACAACAGCAACTCCAGTTTAGAGAGAGAATACCACTAAACTGACCAAGTTCCATAACAAATGCTTTCCCCCAAAATGCTCAAAGGCATCAAGAGGCATTTTCTGTCATTCCTAAAACATTTATTTAAGAGTGTATCATGCCCTTAAGTACTAACATACTCACAGGCTTAACAGTATATGCACTCCACAGCGGCATCTTGATATCCTTGCTATATCCATTTATGTAGTGGTTATTGTGAAGAAGGCAATAGTTATGGTCCTTTTGTAGCAGTCTGGGTCTCCCAAAAGGCAAATTGTATTGTTCTACCTTCTTTGCTACAGTAGGAGAAAGAAAAAGAATTCTAAACACAGTCTGTTTTTCTGATGACATTCTCTGCTTGTTTTCCTTTTTTTCAAAGCAGTTAAAATGCTTACCCTGTGAGGCAGTTAAATTTATCTGTGACTGACTCTGTGGTAAGCCCTAGAAACAAAAGGAAGAAAAGGTGAGAACAAATAATTTTGTGTAGCAACAGAGGTGTGAGTTAATCTTGGGATTTGGAGTGTAATGCCAGCCATTTGCAGATGATACTGAACTGCATTCCTTCTTTACATTTGAACCAGGTGAAGCAGTGGATGTTCTGAACAAGTTCGTAGAGTTAATAATGGGCTGGATGAAAGCTAGTAAGCTAGTAAGTTGTTGTTAAGCAGTCAATTAATCCAAGATAGTCACTTCTCAAGGTTTTACATGGGACTATACTATCCCACAAGAATCATGTGTGTAGTTTGGGTATATTCATAGAGCTACCCTTAAGGCTGATGCTCAAGTAGAACCCACCACATCACAAGGTTACGTCAGTGTGTCAGCAGCTCACAGACAGACATCATCTTCCTATGTTATTCATAGTATAATATGGGACACACTTTAGGGAATACACTTCCACAATTTTGAAAGCACTTTACTGGTTCTCTGTTTCCAAGTGCTACAATTTAACAAAGTCAAGTATGCATACTGACAAAGGACCTTAAAGCCAAAGTCCTGTTTAAGGGGGTAAATCAGGAAAGACCTAACCAAAGGGGGCTGAAGTGTGAGTCCTCAAACCAAAGGATATCACTGACACCAGTCCCTTTACTACCCAGCCAGCTGGAGACCAAGAGATAAAACTTTTAGCCCTTCCTGGTCTAAGAACAAGTAAGTCATCCTTGCAAGGTAGGATGTTTACAAAGTGAGTTTCAAAAACCAATTACTATGGTAGCTGTAGCCAATATGGGGTAAAGTACTGGATTCAGACTGAAGCCCCCAAACCCAAGAATACCACAAAATACAAGTAAGATGATTTATTATAAAATTGTACAAGAATATACAATAAATGAGCAGTGAATACTGAAGATAAAAATAACAAAGCTATAAATCTAGGGCAAGCACATTAACAACCATTGGTTCAAGATCCAGATGTTACCCATCAAGACTAAGTCCCATACAGTTTCAAAATCCAAAAGCCAAGACAAGGGTTCCAGTCACTATGACTCACACAGAATCACTAAGCGTCCCAAAATCAGATGTAATCCAGTCACAGGGCAAAACTAGAATGGAAGATCTTTCCTACATGCTCAACAACCCATGGTGGCCTCATTCTAGTTGACTAATCAAATGTATAGCAAATGAACCAGTTCATACCGGTAAGGTGGGATACAAATTGAAAGCAAATAAAATAAAATAAATAAATATAACTTGACCAATCAGGTATAATACTAACCAGCTGACTTAACCAATCAGGTGAGTTTGCCAGTTAGACTGAACACTCTGCAGCTGCGTCAGTTCCAATTTAAGCAAGAACCTTCTTCCACCCATTAGCTTAGGCAGCAACAAGGTGGAATGTACCCTCCCAGAATCTTGTGGCCTTACGAGGCCTTGAAACTGGCAAGCCTAACTGGCACCTGAGTTGTCTCCCATTTTCCCTTATCTGTCTCTTTGAAGCTACAAGCAACCTTGACCTAAGTTCTCAAAGAGAGAAAACTTCCATGATTTTTTAGGCCTCAGAATGAACCACGGAGTAGCAAAAAACTGCTTAAATGGACCAGTTTCCTGACATGCACATTTGCCATCTCTTGGCCCCGGTCACACAGAGCATTAGGCATGCTAGAGAGACGGAAGATAGGTGGATTTTCCGGGTGCGATCTCACCGCCACATCTGGGAAGCGTAGAGCTGCCGTGGCTCACCTGAGGCTTCACTCTGAAGATGCGCTGTAAAAAACTAGTATCTCCGAGGTACTAGTTTCTGGAAACTGCGGGGCAAGGGCGGGTGTCAGATCATGTTTCCGGTGTTAGCTCGTGGCATCCGGCGCCTGCCCATGTCCCGTTGCAAAAACTTTTTTTTGTCAAGTCTCCACGGGTGCGCACAAGCACCCAACGGCGCATGCGAACACTTGGGTTAAAAAAACCCAACACAACCCCTGCGGCGCCGCTTCTTTGCCGCGCCGCAGGAGTGATGTATGATTGGCACCTCCCCCCAACCATGGGATGTTGGCGGGATGTCGGGTGGGATGTTTGATCCGGCTGCCGCACGGTAGTTTGCTCCGGGGCAAACAGCCACGCCTCCCCCCCCTGCGCGATATCCGGCCTGTGTGACCGGGGCTATCAATGGACAGAATAGGTAACTTGTAGCCAAATCTGCAATTCATGTAGTAATGATGGGACAGTTTTAAAGGTGCGGCATTATTCTCACTCTAGATCAATGGAAACCTCTCACTGACATTGAATGAATCTGAAGTAATGTTGACAATGATCTCACAGTTTGGAAAAGTATAGAAGCAAACAGCTAAACATTTCTATTAGTGTGTGTACATACCAACAAATCACATGAGCAGCCAAGATCACCTGTAGAAGTTCTCCGCCTTGTGAAAGGGCATGAAGAAGGGTAACTTTCTTCCTTAGGATAACTTGGGACATAAGTGGGTTTCTTTAAAAGATGATTGAGGCTTCCATGAGTACCATTATTAGGGGCTGGCGTCAAGTCAAGTAGATCTGTAACAAACAAGCAAATGTAACAAATTAATGGCTCAGATCCCACAAACTACCAGTGGTTTGAGATTTTTCTCTCCTCCCCGTCTCCCCTAGAGCCATTTCTGACCCTGGAAAGTTTATTCCAGGGCTGAGGGATTTCTATCTACTGATCACAGCACAAGAAAAGGCAAAAAATATGATTGATGCTGTGTAAAAAAAATATTTTACTTGACTTCAGAAGCTTAGCTGCTATGGGAATTTTCTTCTCAGATCCCCCTGATGATACATACAGGAAATGTGTAGGGGTCATCGAGTCAAAGTATTTTTTTCCCCACTGCACCAATTTCTCCCCCCTCCCCCGCTTTTTCTTGTTCTGCTTACTGGTGAGGCCCTCTCTTCTAGATATTAACAGCTGCACCAGTTGGGTGGCTACAGTAGGCAGGGGAAGGGCAATGAGATTAAACTTTTTGCTTCTTGTGTAAGAAGAGCTCTCTCCACATAATGGAGTCCCACTGCAGCTGCCTACTCAATGCAGCTATTAGTACACACAAGCCCCTCAACACTGGGAATAAACTTTGCCAGTTATCAGAAATGGCTTCAGGAGGAGGGAAGGGTAAGATCCTGCAATTCTTGCACCCGCAAATTGCAGGATCCAACCCATTAGATCTTTTAAAATTCACTTCTGCACTGCAATTTTCATGTGACTGTAAGCATGAGCATGGCATATAGGCATGTTGGAACCTTCTAAGGACTGCACCCCCGCACTGGTCTGCCTCCACCCCTTGCTCATCATCCTGCAGGAGCAACCTACCATAACCTCCCCTTCATCTGTTCCTCAGTATCGCTCCAAAGGAGAGGAAATAGGAAACAGGTGAAAGGAGATGGTGTAAAATTTAAGATGGCTATCACAGTCCAACACTGACTGGATTGGAAATTATATTAGCACAAACACAAATATGCCAATTACAGTAAAAATGGCTATTTCATCATACCACACATTAAATTGTAGATTTCAATATTTTCAAAGGGGTCAACTTTGGTTTGAAACTTGAATCCAGGTCCAAAGCCAATAAACAGAGCCTAGGGAAAAAAGGACAACTCTGTTTTAGTCCTCATATGTTGTAAAGTGTATCAGGGGGATGCAGACATATTTACAACATACATTTATAACTATTTAATGATAATAACTGATGATATGCGTGTAGCCTAAACTAACCTAAAATGAAGCTATTCTTTGGTGGTGGGGGAGAAGAAATTTCTGGCATACATCAGTAATCTTTGTTCAGCAAGTTTACAGAATGCTGGGAATACAAATGGGCTTTTAATTCACTTATGCATTTCAAAAATTTTCTGTAGCTCAATGCCTGTGGCCACACGTCCTTTGAAGAGGGTTATCTCCAATCTCACCAGTTTACCTTCACCAAAAGGCTTAGAAGTTCCTGAATAAAAGCAAGATTTGATCTAACATGAATGGAACGAGACCTTGTTAAATCTTCAGTTTAATAGGCATTTACTTTCCTTGTTAAATCAGAAAAAAAAACCACTATATGTGTTTTTACTAGGAATGGCATTACAATCATGGTTTAAATCTTACAATTTCCTCTTATTTCTTTTCAGACATTCAGGCTACAGCTGCATCAAAATAAACAATGACAAATACAAGACTGCTGTATTCCAAGAAAATGGTTTTGTTTTCTTCTCTTGTAAACGTTGTTCATCTTTTTTTTAAAAAAAATGGTCATTTTGCAGCAACAACTAATTTTCTACTGTAAACAGCATTTGTGTGTAGAGCTTCTCAGCAATAGCAGAAATACACAGCACACATTTTCTCCAGGAAAGATATTTAACCACTTCTTTTATGAGGATCATGTTCTCAAATACTATTGCAGTCCATAAATAGAATAAAATAAAGACCTCATGCATATCTAGTCACAAGACAACTGCTGTACTCTTGTCAGACAATGTAACAGGAAGTGCTAGGAATCTAGAGCTTTTACAAGCACAGGGAGCTATGACGAACATGGTCTTAGTACCATTTTGGTCTTTAAAGCGTCCCCAAAAATTGCCCATTATTTGCAATCGACAAGTGAGTTTTGACCCCATTTGTGCAGATACCTGTGTTGTACAAATGCAAACATAACCCAATGATTAATAGTGATAGTACATGGATTTTTTTAGCTGTCAGATACTAAAATATTTTATATGACTATTGTAAAGCAGAACTTAAGCATGTCTTAGGCAAATATAGAAGACAAACTCAAATTTTATAATAGTATCTTATAACACATTGTCTTACTTTATTTTAGCCCACTTTTCTCAATGAAACGCAAGGCAAATTGTAGAATTAAAAATACAGTAATACGGTATAAAATATCCAATGAACAATGCAATTGGACTAGGATTAAGAAATTAGTAGACAATGCAAACCACAACTACCTACAACATTGGGGGAAGATTTAAGAAGAAGAAGAGATTGGATTTATACCCCGCCCTTCACTACCCAAAGGTGTCTCAGAGCGGCTTACAAACTCCTTTCCCTTCCCCTCCCCACAACAGACACCCTGTGAAGTGGGTGGGGCTGAGAGAACTCTGACACAAACGGCTCTTTTTCAAGAACAGCTCTTATCAGAGCTTTGGCTTGCCCAAGGTCATCCAGCCAGGTGCAAGTGGAGGAGTGGGGAATCAAGCCCGGTTCTCCCAGATTAGAGTCCGCATTCCTAGCCACTACACCAAACTGGATGTTCCACTGTTGACCTAAGAGTGGCAGGACTCAAACACCGAAGCTTCAGGGGGAGATTACAACATAAAATTGCTAAACTTGAGTTCATCCACAAATTCAGAACAATGGATCCCCCACAGCTGAATATGGACATATCTCACTATAGATGCTGTTTTTCTGCCCTTAAGCGTTTCTCGCCCTGACCTAGATTGCCCAGGCTACCCAATCTTGTCAGATCTCAGAAGTTAAGCAGGATTGGCCCTGGCTAGGAGACTCCCAAGGAATAGTAAGGTCATGACGTGGAGGCAGGCAATGACAAACCACCTCTGAACGTCTCTTGACTTGAAACCCCCCACCACGGGGTCACTATAAATCAGCTGTGACTTGACTGCACTTTCCACCACCCAGCGTTTCTCCCTTGCTTTAATCAAGCTAATTACATTTCACCTTGTACCTCTGCATTCTAACTCCTTTCTTGGCAGCACCCCTCCCACCTTCAGACTGGGAGATAAGGACTCATGGATATCCATTCCTACTTCTCTCTGACAAAGGGAGCTTTGACCCTTGAAAACTCATACTCCAAAAAAACTTGTGGGTCTCTAATGTGCTACTGGATTCAGTCTACCTGTTGTACTGCAGACTAACACAGCTATCCTCTGAAACACAACGGCCTAGACAAGGTGGAGTGGAATTACACAAACGCAGTAAAAAGATGCATTAAAAGTAAGACAATACCTAGAATAATCATTGCAGTAGACTGAAATCCTGTCCCATTATAAAGGCGCCCTCATTGATTGCTCGGTTCTACTACAGTTCTATAAAAAATGCCCCCTGAACATTTCTATTTTGCACATTCTGCAGAATGACAGACACGTAGCTGCCTTCATGAATGTCATGAGCCATCACAGGGAATGCACACAAAAAGGCAGTTGCTGATCATACTCATTGGTAGGGTGGCAGTTTCAGAAGGCTTTGCTCCGATGAGGGAAGCTGTTAAGAGCAGCCACGGTATGGCAAGAAAGATGATTCTGCACGTATGTGGGTCCAACTGTTAAGGGTTTTTAGATGATAACCAGTAGGACAAACTGACTAGTAACCAATGGAATGACTGAAGAATAGGTGTGACATGCACACTCTGCCTACTGCCTGATATTAAATGGGCTGCAGTGCTCTGTACCAGCTTCAGTTTCCAAATTGCCTTTAAGGCCCACCTAGAGTGCATTTCAATAGTCTAGCCTCAACCATCAAATGAATCTATATGGCCAGATCAGCCAAGTCAAGGTAAGGGACCCTTTTCCAAGCTAAATTAAGATGGAATAATGCATTTCTGCCGCTGTGTTAACTTGCTTCTCCAACAATACTGCTGGGTCCAGTATAATCCTTAGATCCTTAGCAAAGTCAGTGAATTTCAGCTGGACCTCCATCAAAAATGGGAAACACGGTGTCCTTCAGGACCCCAGCCTTCACAAGTGACATCATCTCCATATTGTGAGGATTCAGTTTCAACTTGTTCAGCCTTAGCCTTTTAGCCACAGCAATAAGGAACTAGTTCAAGTCTCCTATGGCACCACCAGATGATTTTGGATAAATAAGTAGGTCAAAAAGAGTTCTTTTTTAAAGAATGAACCTAATCCCATCTTCATGGCTAGTGGAGACAATATTCTGGCCCTGTTCATGGTAACAAGCAAGAGGGGAAGAGCATGCCTTACTATGCAGCTCACCCAGTGCCTTGGCTCCACCTCTGACACCAACAGGGGTCTATGCGTTGCCATAATATCCAGTTTGGCCCAATGCAGGCTTTGTATACATTGTTAAAAACTTATAGAATTCTAATCCTGCAAAAGAAGTTTATGCACACGACATAGCCTAACCAGGCATCTGTCTTGCTAGTTTTTATATGCAGGATATTTTTAACCTAGGACAAACATTCATCCATGCATCTCCTCACCAGCCATCTGTAGTGGTACAGTTTTGAGAGAGACGCATTATGCCTCTTTCTCAATTTGTAGGAAAGCTTTCTGCTGGCTGCCACCAACTATACAACAAACAGAAAAGTCTTGATGATAGTTTTTTTGGGAAGAACGCTCCCAAAGAAATTGCAAGGGGGTGTGAAATATTTTCTGGTTCTTCTAGGTATCCAGTCCCATAACAAAGATGACTGGAACAAGCAAAAATAGGGAAACAGGGTGGACACAAGTAAACAAAAGCCTGGAGAGTCAGTACCCAAGGCTGGCCTGGGCTAAATGAGAAACATACAGCCCTGGAAACAGAGAATCTTAGTGTCCAGCGTCTTTCTTCAAATATTTAATGCTTAAGTTCCTTAGATAGCTTTCAGCAGGGCTATTTTTGGGCAGGAACGCACAGGAACGGAGTTCCGGCTGGCTCCCAAGTTGGCCATGCCCAGCAGGAACTCACTAGCATAACAGGCCACACCCAACAGCAGAAACTCATTTGGATTGGCTACAATTAGGGGTGTGTGCAAAAAGCCCTGGGTTTTGACAACAAAGTAAAGAGAATAAGAAGCAAAAGGTGGGTGTGGCTGGATGACCACACTTCTGGTAACATGGGGGTGTGGCCTAATATGCGAATGAGCTGTGTTGTCAGGGGTGTGGCCCAATATGCTAATGAGTTCCTGCTGTTGGGTATGGCCTATTATGCTAATGAGTTCCTGCTGGGCTTTTTCTACAACAAAAGCCGTGGCTTTCAGGCAGTGCAAAGGAGAAGGCCTATATTTTCTAGGAAGTGTAATTTTTCCTGTGGAACTGGTGCCCTCTGAATCTTAAATGTTGGCAAAAGCTTTGCAGACTCCAAAGAGATAAAGGCTGAAGGTGTAGGACAAGGGGGGAATGAATGTGATTTCTGAATGTGGGTTCTGCTATTTCCTCTGATGTGTTTGTATGCTGATAGCTGTCACTGTGCCTTCAAAAGTTTAATTATAATAGATCCAGGTCTTGGTATGTAACCTAGAATCTTTTGATTAGAGAAGCTTATAGTAGAATATATTTTATAACTGTACCTTTTGCATACAAAGTTATATATATGTTAAGGAAAAGCATTATTAGAGGCCTCTGGGGATAGAATTAGGATGCAATAAAAACGGAATGTGTATTTAAGAAATTGCAAGGATGACAAGAGCAAGGCTGAATGTGAATCACATTCCTTATCACCCAGCTCCCCAGAAACAATGGGAAGAGGGACTAGCTTCACTAAGATCAGAAAGGTTCTCAGTGTTCCCTAATGTTCCCATTGAACATCTGAAGAGCAGATAGGCAAATGTAATCACTGACACTACATGAGAGACCAATAGTAAGGTTTAAAGTCAAATGATGCTTGTATGATGTTAACTGCTTGGTACCAATGAGAGATTCTTTAATGTGTAAACTATATGTGATGTCATTTGGGGTATAAGACCTTCTGCCCTTCCTGGTTATGGCAGAATACAGTTTTGGAATTGCTAAGGTGCTAAGGCATTCAGCCCTGTATTCCTTGTTTTCAATGCATTAAACAGATATTCATCTAACTCCTTGGACTCCGACTGTGTGTTTCCAATTCAGCACGGGAGCACGCAGAAACAGATTTGTGTATCAAAGGTACAACAATACTTTCTCTCCTCCCCCTATTATCCCAGACCCCACCAAGAAAACCAGCCTCCACACTGTTCTGCTAACTTCAAATTTGTCCAGTTCCAATTACAAACACTTAAGTCTGGACTTGGAAAGATTTGCCTTTCCTCTTGAATTGTTTGTTGGAAGCTGAGTACTGACCAATTCTAAAATAAGAATGAGTATGTTTTGAAACTTACCTGCATATTTTCAAATGTATTATCTGACCCGTGGAATCCACCTTTGCAGTACTTGAGCTCAGATGGCATTCTGCAGAACATAGCCATAAACATGTAACTGACAATACCTGTATTATAGAAAACCTGTGAATACTGCAACCCTATTCTCTCTGTGTTTCCCTAGACATATCTCAGCCCTTTCGTCCTCTGCCTAAAATTCCACTGTTAAAATAATAAACCTGTCTTCATTGGCTTCCTATCCTCTTCCATAACCAGAACAGCCTTCTTGCCTTTAGCATTAGAGCTCTTTCAGATTTTCTTTTTTCTTTTTTTGCTTCATTTCTTTTAATATTCCTTGCAAAAGCACAGCTGTGTTAATCTGTTACAACAATTTTTTAAAAGTTCAGTGGTACCTTCAAGACTAACAACATTCATTTCAATATGAGCTTTCATAACAGACAATGGAGAGACTAGCTTCACTAGTCAGATACATATCTGATGAAACAGACTGAGACTTTAAAAATATATATATAATATTCCTGCCAGTAACCTGTGTTTCCCCAACTTTGCCACCCTGAGCTGCCCAATAATCTCTTGTTATTGAACACTACTGTTCCAGATGCCTCTCACTGAGTAAAATTCCCTGCCTCAAGATGTACATACTGTCACTTATCATTTTCTTTCAAACCACTTTTTCCACACAGGCTACTGAACTAATATTCATTCCAAGCAGGGCTTTATTTTGGAAAAAGATGTGCCGGAAATGAGGGAAATGAAGTTTTATAACTGTATACTGAAAACTCATGAACTTTTAAACATTTTGAAAATAATTTTGTCGAAGAGGTTCTGGAACTCCATTCCCCCAGAGAAAAAGCCCTGATTTCAAGTATTCTCAAATTAATTGCACTACCTTTGCTTCCCTCACCCTCCTCTCATTTGTCTTCATGTTGTTTAGTTCATATTGTAACCTTCTTGGAAGCTTATGTTTTGTTAATGGAAGCTGTATAAATAAAAGGTACTTCCTTTAATTGGGCATAGAGATGCTATATAACTACTTCCTAAGAAGATAAATTTGCTCTTTCAGAGAGAGCTATTTAGCGCCAAATTAATCTTGCACCTCCCATAACTCTTCACATAAAGCCCATATCTCCTCCACAGTTCATGAGAAAATATCATGTGCATGATCTTCTGACATAATACCACCACAGTTTTTCAGTCCAGTTTTCACATTGCCCAGTACTGATATTTTACAGCATCTGCACTTAAATACTAACAGTCAGGCCAACACTGCAGCCCTTTGCAGAGTTCAATCAAAGCCCACTGAAATAAATGAACTTAGACTGGAGTAACTCTGCATGAAGCTGCATGTCATCAACTTTTGGGGAGTTAGGCACCAACCAGAGAAAGAAAGAAAGAAAGAAAGAAAGAAAGAAAGAAAGAAAGAAAGAAAGAAAGAAAGAAAGAAAGAAAGAAAGAAAGAAAGAAAGAAAGAAAGACAGGAAGGAAGGAAGGGAGGGAGGAAGGGAGGGAGGGAGGGAGGGAGG